CACAGAGAAAATAGTTCAATCCAGAAAATGTGAAAGGAAACGTAACCCCTCCCTCCCTTTACTATGGCTATAATTAGCGGTCGTAAAAGAGCAGACTAAAGAACATGGTCACGAGTGAGAGAGGTCATAAAATGAATGAAGGCCGATTCTCAAAAGGTCGATCATAAGCCGCATTATCTTGAGAGCAAATGAGGAAAATGGTACATACATTTAATAGTAAACAAATACGGAATCCCTCTGATGTTCTGTCTTGGCTGGTCGACGTGTTCAGCCTTTGTTTCGTGTGCTCGAGAGTGTTCGAATTCACAAAGAACATGTGCAATCGCCATACACAACATTGGCGATGGCTTCATGGCGGGAGGGAACGAGATGACTGTCACTAACGCTGAGACGGCCTTATCCTTCTGGTGGTGGGGGGAGGAGAGGTGACTGCAAGGAAAGGGAAAATATTCTCGAACAACGAAAAGCCAACTGCTATTCTAATTCAGACGCAGAGTGAACCTGACACTTGAAAAACAATAGGATATAGGCAAATAAACAGAAGGCCTGCTGAGCTAACCCTCATCAAAAGTGGCCACAGATGTCATGCCACTTAGCCGGTCAATGAAAAGACAAGCGGTACGTGATGGCGTGTTGACCGGCAAGTTAATTCTTAAAGAAGAACGGGGAGTGTTCGTGAACAGCAAGTGTTTTGCCTTAAAAATGTACGGAAATGAATTGTGGATGGAAAGAGCCGAGCTTAAACCAGAAGCTTATGACCCGCTCCTAAAAGCTGCATCTCTGTAAAGCAAGTGGAATAGCCAAAAAAAGAAGGCAGAACATCGCTTCCCCGAATTGGAACCTAGGCACATCAACAGTGAAAATCGGGCCGTTTACAATGCACTAAGCGCCCCCACTCCCTTTCCCCACCTCCGCTGCACGGCTCTCCCTCCTGCCCTAGATGATGTATGATGGATTGAGAATGCAAATGTCGGAGGAAATTTTATGATGACGATCGGAGTAAACGGTTCAACAATCGGTGTTAGCGAAATAGCAGTAGGAACGTCTCTCATGCCAACCAACTGTTCCCAAAATTATAACGTCGAGTGGGGCAGGAACTGTAGAAATCTCAACCGAATACCGTCAGAGATAGCAGAAAAACAGTTTTGCAGAGCTGCCGATCTGAGGATGACATCGTTGGACGGAAAAAGCAGTGATTGGAAAAAAGTTTCTCTCGTTACCCGTCCACGGCTCCTGCTGTCCCCGCCGGACCCCTTGCTCCACGTTCTAAACGTGATGAGTCTGCGCTCAATACTACGGCAAGATGATGAAGAAAGGCACAAGTGATGAAAGAGCAGAAATCTTCGCGAAATGCCCTATTCAGAACACCCCGCTAAACCGCGCTTGTAGGTGCATAAGAAGGGGCGTGGTCGGACGAGTTCTCACTTGTTGGTGCCAGCTCTTTCTCTTTATCGCCTCAGTCGCACCATTCGAAATGGAGAGATCTCATAGTGAAACAACCGCACAAACAAGTCGCAGTTCAAAATGAAGCTGGGCGCTGCTGAGGTAAGTGTGGCGGCCGTAGTTCCCGATCGTAACGCAGACGCTTTTCCAGTATTTTTGAACTGGGCGAAGTATTACACTCTAAAGCGCTCGCGGACGAGACCTACCATGCCTAAAGAATACGCCTGCAAACCAAATGAGCGCAAGAAGTTGCTTTGGAGACTAGTTTTTGTTCTGCCGTATGCAGTTCTTCAAAGTTCACTATGCACATGCGTATACAAGCGCTGAAGAGGAAAGAAAGAAGGAAAGAAAGAGACATAGTCACAATTCAGAACAACCAAAACTGGAAGGTGACAGGCCTTCTGGGCAGCAATGGAGTCCAAAACTCTAAGGCTCTTGGAAATAAGAAAATGAAAATTTGTCCAATGAGGAATATGGTAATAGGAAAGCTCATCGCCCCGCGTCCGCATAGGAACGGATAACTGCCAATATTATCAGCAGCTGCAAGCAGGAAGTGCATCCTCCATGGCACGGTCATGCACTTCGCGCAAATGACGCTGTCCGTAGGACCGACCTTCAACTTGAGCTGCCGGTGCGGAGCACTACTTCCCAGTCGCGGCATAGCAGTACGAGTTCACTTGGGAGATAGAGCTGACACGCAGCGCCACTGCCGTGTTGAGTGCGGATCGTCGCGGATGCTGCGTACGTCAGACCGCTTGCAACGACCTTTTCGCACAGCTGGAACTAACGCTCCCTACCAGCGATGGCTGTAGAGAGCGGCCTAAAAGAGAAATCCCTCAGTGGAAGACCAAACAGTGCTGGCTCGGCACGCTGCATACCGACTTGAAAATAGTTGGCATTCACCTCAACCAAAGTTTCATTCGGGATAAATGGGGTTACTATGTTACCCTACAAGAGGGATAAAAGTGGGATAAAAAAGGACTCTCTGCTGCGGCTAACAAAAAAATACAGTTGGAATATGTAGATTATTGAGGCAGAAATCGAAAAGTGTGAAGAGTGGACCAGGTAAAGAGGAAAATATCGATCTAAGAATTAGATGCCAAGAAATTATTGCTGACTCGTTCCTCCTTTTAGTCATACAAGCCATCGCTGTTTGTCATCAATGAAGAAGGCCAATCACTGAGGTTCACTCCCTCTCGAAGCTCCAACAAAAAATCCTTCGAGGTGACCGCAGTCGAATCGGGGGCACATCGTACGATGGAAATTCCCGATGGGGGTTAGTTCTTGGCAGAACCTGAATTTTTCCGGTTCTACATGCACTATATCTAGATCGGCGTCGCCACAAAATTGTCATTTCTGACTGCTGATTTCAGGTGTCTACTTCTCGCGCTCGACGGCAAATCTTTGACGAAATTTGATAACACGGGGTCGGTAGTGGTAGGATTTGGAAGAGGATAGGAGGTCGTATCCAGCAAAAATTCCCCTCAGCGCTAGGACGTGACTTGGGCCGTTGTTCCCTGAGATTCTTGAAAGATTCCTTGTTTTCCGAAATAAGTGGTAAAGTAAGCCAGGTAAGGTGATGGACGTTGAAATCGAGCGATACGACGTGCAGTCATGTTCGCTGCGGATAGTGAATTGTGTCAGAGGACCGGGGCGGAGCCAGTCTGTTCTCCACCAATTGTTGAAGTGGGTAAGCAACAATTGGTGGAAAACGGACTGGCGCCGTGCCACCATTCCCTCTGACACGACCCAACATCTGCAGCGAACAGCACTATACAGAACCGATGGGTTATTCGATTCTACCGTTGATTCGGCACACCATTTGATCTACGAGAAATAGATCTACAGTATGATGAAGAAGACGTCTCTGTACCACCTTGCAATGTGGCTGGATTAACCACAGCACTACAAGCATTGTTCCCGTGATTCAGTACTCAGCTTGCCTCACCACCTTAGACTGGTAGAGCCAAGCTTCTCAATTCCGCAGTGATGTCGGTACGCAGGTAGGATGACGATAACCGGTTCACGAATCGTATAAAATGGCAGTCAAATGCAAAATAGCCATTAAAGTTCTCGCTCAAGAACTGGTTACTGATCCATCTAGCGCATTTTGAAATTGGGATCGAACAAAACTACGAACAAATAAACTTTCCATATGACATAAGGCATCTTGGTAAAAACCAACAGTATTTGAACAGATGGATGAAAGTCTAAATATATATTTCTTGCGCAAGGCATTCAATTCAGGCACGTTGGCGCTGCTAGTCGTGAAATAACAGCATAAGAAAAGGAGCTACTCTGCTATAGACCTACTATGAACATCTAATTTACAAAGCGAGAGCAAGTACACGCTGATACAGCTAAAGAACTTATGTAGTAATCGCTATTCAAACTATAGAGTTATGGAATATGAAAACACCGCATCTCAAGTACACCAAAAGCTCTGAAGCGAGAAACGACAATAACTGAAACCGAACACAAACTGAATAAGTGAGGGCTAAGTGGAAAACCTGCAACGTGTACACTCCATTTCCAAACAAGTGACAGACCGTTCCGGTACGGTAAAAGCGCTACAGTCTTTAATTGTGACTTTTCGGGCCACCTCATCAAGATTATTCATAGGGATTTTTCAGGGCGATTTGGCTTGTTGGGAGCATTTTGCTGGTTCACATCGATCATTGCCGATGCTTCCCCCGGCGACCTCTAGACTTTTGCAGAACTGCTGCTGAACTCTAGACTCCTGCAAAGGTATGCAATAGCAGAAGCTTCGCTTGCACTTAACAATAGCCTACATGTCTCAGCAAGGTGTAACGTGTAACTGGACAGTATAATGCAAAAGGGACTAGTGAGAGTGCAAAAATGCCCCTTCTAGGCCAAACAGCGCTGAATTATTCCAACAACCATAACGCTTTACGATATCCCTGAACGTTCTGCTCTACACATGAAGATAGATAGATCCGATAATCTGAGTACATCTGTATGTGAAGACCTGCTTCGGAAAGGATACCAGCGAAGGAGACATGGAACAAAGAAGATATGGCAAGAATCTCATGGTAAAGAAATGACCTAGAAACAGACTGAACTGTGAATTCAATGGCGCAAGAGTAGCAGAGGTCCGCAGTCAATAGGATAACGTCAAGAAATCTCCGCTGTGGATGAATCAACTTACACACCATAACTCAGAAACGGAGAGGCGTGGTTGCGTACATTCATTCACTGGTTGCTCATTTGAACCTGGAGGCCACTGCGCTTTTGGTGAGATACTGCCACTTTGGAACAACTGTAAGGAAAGTTGCCTCAAAAGTAAATATCTCGCAACAATCGCATGCTAGTGTATCCATCTCCAAATGAAGCACGTGGCCACGCCCACCACGACTCCGGGATATGGTGGGTATTTATGCGAAAATAGACACTGCAAAAAACTCGCCATTCACCTCCAAGTTCCTTCCTTCCTCAGGTTCGGATGAAAATCTACTTTGAAAGAGAGTGCGGATCTTTGCTACACCAGCAATTATTAATGAATAACAATTCTAACAATAAAATGTGGCACTCCACATTCAGAGACTAGTTTTTGCCTGCCCGTATACATTTACAGCTCCATCACCTGTAGCGATAGAAATCATGCACCTGAAACATGGATATATCGTGAAGCAAGTCTTAGCTAAAAACGTCCGGGGAGAAAGTGAATGCACTCCTGTTCGCTGCGGAAGGGGTGTCAGACGGAAGGGGCTTCTCGTGGTGCCAAACCCGTTTTCAAAAGTTGTTGAGGGGAGTAAGTGAAAGAATGTATCATATCGTTCGTGTGAGTCGTTTTTCACCAGTCTTGTCGATTAGCTGCTTCAGCACTGTCCTAACCAGCTCACCACCAGTAGAACGGGTTAGGCACGACACCTAACCCGTTCCGGGGGTGGTGAACGGTTTAGGTGTCGCGCCAAACCCATTTCCACGCCTCTTCATCAGCAGCGATACTGCATCGACTCATCGGTACACGTCACATTCCGCGCTTATCGTTTACAAAAATGGGTAGAAAACGAGTAATATGAAGCGATATGATACAGTCATATCACTTGCTCGCTTTACAACTGGTGGAGAACGGGTTTGGCACCGCGCCAAACTCATCCCGCCTGACGCCCAACCGTCCGCAGCGAACCACACTATAGTATGATTGAACCACCACATTGTGCGGTTCTCCACTTCACCACTTGAGAGGAGTGGCAAACAATGAGGGTTTGTTATAGGTCTCTGTCTCCGCCCATCCTGGTACAGCGGCATATGCCTTTACAAAATCGCAAAAGCAAACGAAGCGAACGCACCTAAGTTTATGCATGGCAACAGCAGCTATGTTATGAGACGGTCTTCCACGTTCAAAATCATTCTGACGAACACTACATAAGGGAACACCGCAGATATCGTATAACTTGACCTCAGCTTTCAAGACACAACCGAACATCTGAAACAAGCAGTGCAGCTTCATGCAGGGATAAACAACATTGTAATGTTTACCTCGGCATTTTTGTGCACAATGAAATTTCTCAGCGGTTCATTTGTTTCACGACCCGCCTCTATTTCGACAACTGGCACCTAAAAATAGTATGTGGTGAGGACTTTCACAAAGATTTCGTCACAAAAGGTCTGTACTACGGATTTTTGAGCTGGTTGAAGACGCCTCCTTATCCTCAAATGAACCCATTCATGCGAACCAGCCTAATTAGCCCCAATAACTTCTTAGGAATCTATAATTTACGTGACAGATATACAATACCAGAAGCTCGACTGCGACCATCTGCTTTAGATTTTTGGCGAACAGTGGAACAAACCGCTTTTCTAGCTTCAGAGAATTCTACCAGAAAAAAAATACGTGATTTTGGAGACATATAAAATTTTGTGAACATACCTTGAACATTCTCGGCTCCCAAACACAGATACCTCCGCCCTCATCACCAGCCGCTACTATTGCGTTGCCTTTTGAATCGACACGAATCGCAACGCCCACCACACGGGAAGACAAGTCGTGGAAGGACATTATCAAGGACTCCTTTGCAGGAACACGAATATCATGGACATTCACCACTCCGTCACGGTATCCTTGAATTTATTCATGTGCTATCGAGACGAATGCTTACAAAGTCATCAATGATCGACATACCTGCAGCGATCAGATCGTTGTGATCGAGCTCACCGGAGAGTGCAGTCACTGCTCCTTTTTTGACAGCAATTGCAATATCTTGAGCGGTCCTTTCATAATGTGCATCCCACACACGAATTACCCGTACATTACCACCACAGACTAGGCGGCCAGTTTCTTGGCTCCAACTGCAACAACTACATTGACTTTGGGAAGAACAAATGGTTATCAAATGAAATATTCAGTCAGAAGGAATCGCCACACATAGTGTAGTTTGCTGCGGATGGTTGGGCGTGTCAGGCAGGATGAGTTTGGCGCGGTGCCAAACCCGTTCTCCACCAGTTGTTAAAGTGATATGACTGTATCATATCGTTCGTATTACTCGTTTTCTACCACTTTTTGTCGCATGCGCGCTTCAACAAGAAGGCAGAGAACGGCTTTTGGGTGAACACTCATACTGCCTGACACGCCCAACCGTCCGCAGCGAACTAGAGTATAGAAATCTGAGAATAGCTGGATTACGCTTAGTATTGTATTAATCTTTCAAGATAGAGCCCCCCATAATCAGCGTACAGAATCCCTTCCTTGGACATGGTGGAGTAGTTGCAAAGTTGTACCACACTGCGACTTGAAAGTCACACTTTTCACGTAGCAAAAAGGGGCAGCCGATGACAGACTACGATAGAAAGATTATACGATAACAACGCCACGAGGAAGAGTCTAAACCCCGCACGGCGAAGCCACACTCTCAACCGTAGTCAAATGAGCTTGTTTTCCATTACCCGTTCATTAGTTGTTCTTTTCCTCTGACTATGCGTGCGCTGCGGGATTTTGGTATCACGCAAGCACTGCGCTTTGAGGATGGCGCGGGCGAGGACGGAAGGCGGCACTCGGGTGTCGTTACTCACAACCCCGTTCCCACCCATTTTTGTGCACTTTTGAGCAGAGAAAGTGGCACGCTATGCTGCTATGGACCCACTGCTCTCACACTTCGCAGGGACCGCCCTCAAGGATGGCCTACACTTTGCCACTCTGCTGATATACCTAGCGCACTGACATTCGTTTTCGAACCCCCTTAATCATGAGTGGCACGCGAGCTCAGCCTTTAATGACTGAAACAGTTCATTTGTAGCATTTCTGACTATTAAAAAGTACAACTCACTCATATAACGTTGGATGAACAGCATAATTTGATAGAGGTAGTCTTGATTGATCGCAAAGTGGATTCGAGGCAGTGACCAATTGTGGCAAATCTTCTATTTCATGTGAGTGAATATTATATGAAAGATCCCATACCTTGAAATACCAAAATATCTTTAATCCATTTCCAACTGAATTATCCCAAAAATAGAAAAGCCTCCAACGTACCCTTACAATACCAGTGGAAGACCCGCAGAGCAACATTTCACGTGACATCTCATTTATAACTATTAATGCAGTTGTCTTATCCTGTAACAAAAAAAAACAAGGTTCAAGAAAGCGCTGAGTTGAATGTTGTTGTTGTGTTGCTCTTTGATGTATAAATGGGATAAAGAAATTTACCGAATTAAAAGGATTTCCTGCATTGCAGGAGAACTTTTGTGCAATGTGGTTGTGCGACTTCTCATAACGAGTAATATATATTTGTTCACCGTCCGTAGTATAAATGGACTTTCTCAACATAGAAAATGAAACAACAGTTGGTGAAGTAGGAACCCGCGCACTGACCAATAACGAATCGCACGGCACTGACTGAAAAGCATAGCATTTCAAGCAAATGACCAATAGTAACTTGCAACAATTATCAAAAAATTGATATTGAAGGATCCAAAATGTTAGAAGGGTGAAGGACTGAGTTCTCAGTGTTGAACAATCTCTTTTTGGGATGCAGCCCGCATTCAGCTTCAAATCGTAGTGATTTACTGGATGCGATGTGGCCTATGCAATGAGCTGCTCGGCCAGTCGAAGTGTAAGCCATTCCTGCTCATGTTCTTTCGTTGTTCTTATCCTTTCGACGAATTTGCTACAATTTACCCGTCCCGGATTGTAGAAATCCTGGTTGTCCCGAGTGGGAGCCGACTGGCACTCGACTGCAGCACAGCGCGCGTGGTAAGCGTGCCCTTTGCCGCTACATCACCTCCCCTGTTTGAAGGTTCTTCAAAAGAAATTAGGAAGTTTCTTAGCAAAGTATTAACCACCGTAATAATAGGGAGGCTAGGATTTTTTTTCTGAATTTTCCAAGCCTTTCGTACTTTGAACAAACTTTCAACTTAGATAGTGAATACTGATGAGATTTCAGGACAGCTCGGTACTCGTTACCAAATCATAGGAAAGACTTAATTCAGCCTGTTGTGTCGTAAGAGAAATGTGAGGGAAATAACCTTGAACACTTCAAATTCAGCATGTGCATGTTGCTGTTGCGCCTGTTCAATGAAAATGGCCCAATCTGTAGGATTTACTAATGTGAGCGCACGGTCCGTGAAATCCTCGACGTCTTCTTTACACTAAAAATAAACAGATGAAGAACAGAACAGGGTGAAGAAGAGCTCCTATACTTACGTGAATCAAGTCAAGAATAGGCTGGACGAAAATGCGGCTGCACCATGGAACGAATTCTGATGTGAGCAACGGTTCAGCAGTTGTGGCCATTGGGGTACCCGACGAAAATTCACCACGAGCAGTCTAAATAGGGGCTATTTGTAGAATCATTAACCATTTAGTAAGAAATCACTCACAGTTCCTCTCTTCGGTGTGAAGGACTGCTTCAACATCTCAGCCAGTTGAGATTTCGATTCCGACCCTAAGCAAAGAAAAAATGGAATGAAGAAGAAGGGTAACAAAACGTAGAAAAAACGTGGTGCATACCTCTGCCGGATGGGAAATGCGACGGCATCGATAACTTCCGCTGATTAGGCTGTCTCTGTGGACGTTGCAAGGTTGCAGCTGATGGCTTGCTAGCAGTACTTTGCTGGTTGTTGTACATTCCACTGGGAGAAGAACTATCAATATCAGCATTGGACGACAAGCTGTTAGAGTGTGTGTTTCCTTCCGGTGGCAATAACGATGCGCCAGTTGCTACAGGACTGCCAATCATGAAGCGCACACCTCCTGCAAAATGAAAAATGGATCAGATTTGTAGAGAAACATATACATGTTTATAACATTGTACCCACACTTGACCGATAGTACACTGCTGTCCACTAGTTCGCTCAAAGACAAACTGTACATTCATGTGCGTGGTTCCTGCATCACTACCGTGTGCAAGGTGAAAAGGTTCGCAGTAGTGTATCACTTTCTCCGCGCAAAAGTGTACGGGAACGAGGCTAGAGGGTAGTGATCTCCGGGGCCGTCTCCACACCTCTCTTCCCCTGCCACGACCAGTATGTGCTTGAAGACAGCCCCCGCGCTCAAGTAGTACATGGTCGTCCTTCCTTGTGCAAGTAGTCCAGCCCCCAAGCTAGAGACTGTCCCACTCTCGCGACTCCACAGTGAGCGAGGAGCGAGCTACAGCCGCTGAAAGTTCTAGTTCTAACGCCCGCCCAGTTGGACCGCCCACTTGCTAGATGCCCTCTGACGGAGGGCCGCTCAGTTGTTCTTTGTTGGGGCGGCGGGCATTAATCGGAATTGCATGTCCTTTTGCTGACCGCGCTCGTGCCCATGAATGATTCTGCTCTCCTTTATTACATTTTATTCATTAGGAGGCACATGCAGCCAACGCAACCTATTCCATACGGTACAACGCGTAAAATTCACGAGCGATAATTTTCGAGGTGTAGAAGCTCGACATGCACTAAAAGACGCACGCAACCGTAACCCCATATTCGGATAGCGGGTTCTTGGAACTTACTTCTATCTTAGTGTTTTCTAGGTGTTTTTGCTGTTTTTCGCATTGTTTTCTTTGCACTGGTTGACATCAACCACTGAGAGATGTAAAGCAATATGTGAGTTAGGGGTTGCACAGAGACCGCAGGGCGGTGTGACTGTCAGGGAGCGATTTTGTTCATGGTGTTCTTGAGGGCTCTTCTTGCTTTTTTTCTTCTTTGGGGAATTACTTATCAGCTACTGTTTCATAATTGAACAGCAACTATCCATGACACTTTTATCGCGGAGCTGTCTTTAACCATAGCCAAGCGCGCTGCTCGTCTGTGCTCTCCGCCCTCTCGCTTCTGGTGGTTCTCTCCGCAAGGCTGCATCTTGAGGATAGCGTGGGCGTGGACGGGGAACGGCACCCAGATGTCACTACACTGCATCCCTGTCCCGTGCACTTTCGAGTGAAGAAACCAGCCTGTTATTTTAGCTGCGGGCTCATTTACTTCGCACATGGCAACGGCCGGCCTTAGAGTTACGCGCACAGTTTGTCTTTGAATTATACACCAGGGTGCTGCTGACATAACATAGATTAATCAGGGGTGCTACATCTTTTTTGCAACGACGCGCGCAGACTAGCACAGCATTTACCATTTACCAGTTAGCTCGAGAGCAATTCTTTATCAATGAGGTCCTGGTGCAACTGCCGCTCAGAACACCGTCTTGGTCGTGTCTGGGTGCAACGTACCGCACTTGGAACACAGCAGGTGCACTGGGCTACACATACCGTAACCAAGAAAATGTAGTATGCTTGTACAATCTTGCTCGCTGCGGATGAGAGGGCGTGTCAGGCGAACACTGGCTTGGTGGCAAACCCGTTTTCCACAGTGAGCAAGCGATAAGCCTGTATCACATAGTAGGTATCTGCCGCCTTCCACCAACTGTTTTCACTCGCACACTTTAATAAATGGTGCAGAGCGGGCTCGGCATTTCGCCAAATCCATCCTGCCCGAACGCTCCTTGATCCACAGCGAACAAATCTACATAACACGCTGTGTTTAGCGCGAAACATAAATATCAAAGGAAGGCCCAACGTCACATTCAAGATTACAATACCTCCTTCATTCTCACTGCTTCTTCCCAGCTTAGCAGAACCATCAGTTTCCGTTATTTCATCGAATGGAGCATCAGAATTATGAATTGCTGTGTCCACTTTGTGGATCTACAAAATGATAACTAAACTAACATTTATGTAGTGATGATTTTAGCATTACACCACAGCAAAACTTACAGACGCGAAGCTTGATACTTTCTCGATCTTCTCAGTAAGGGCTGTAGCGCTGCTTTGGAGACCCAGTGCCAGTACCTCTACGTGGCGGACTAGCTTGTGAGCCATTAGAGCAACCTGGAAAACAGATACTAAAGTTCATCAAAACGTAGAATCAAGTAGTTTCCAAACGACTCAGGGTGCAACAAGCTTTTCAGTAGGTTTTTTGGAATCGTTACAGAAAGCATTCAGCAATGGAGTTGCACCATGGCATAAACAAAGTCGAGAAAGAATGGAAGGGCCCGCGCAATTTTTTTTCTCCTTCTGGACTACAAAACAAACACTGGTTAATGGCTAGAAAGATCGAAAGCGATAAGAGACACGTTCTTGTATCCCTTTTCCTTCATGGTTGCGTAATAAGTACATGCTGAACCTGAACTACCTTTTGAACAGGATCCAACGACAGCCTCAGCAGTGCTACCCAAGTCCGTTCCAAAGGTTCCTTGAAATTTTTGTTTTCAAGATAAGCCAGCTGTTTCTTCGCACGCTCCCTGGAGTAAATTATGAAACTGTGCTGAAATGAGCAAGGAATTTGTGGCGACGTGCTAGGAATCGTACCTGAAGGCGATATCTCGTTTTGATGGGCCGGTATACGAAGATACTAACGACATCACTTGGCTGACAGAAGAAGACAACGAGTTCCGATCCGACGGGTCACTTATGGTCACAACCTAGGAACGATGACTCTGTTTTAGCTCATTTTGTTAAAATACAATAACTACAGTTTTACTAAAGAAACCTTGCACTATAATAAGATCTGTGGGACGTTTTTCATTCTCTGCCCTAACCCGCGTTCACACTCTTCGCATAAACAATATAGGGAAAACACCTATAAATCTGTGAACTCTGAAGATGCGCGATTCGGAAGAATGCGCGAGTTAGATCGCGAATTCTAGGGGAATCGAATGACCAAGAGCTAACGAAGCGCGCAGCCTTCTAGTGAACCAATACACCATATTGGCAAAGTATGAATGCACACTCAGTGATTCTTCTCAATAAACAAAAAACCCAGAGCGCTGTTCAGTCGCGGAGGTGTGGGGATGGGGATGGGCGGGACAGTGAGCAGGAATTCCCAGTTCTGCCAGTTTCTTTTGCTAATTCATGTTAAATCACCTATGATCTCTTGCAAATGAAATGGTACACGCTTAAAGGAACGCGCGATTTTCCCCAATGTGACCTGTTCACGTATTGCTCAGTACCAATAGGTGCCCCCTCCAAGCCGAACCGCATCTAACCCAGTCCCTGCACAGGAATGTCAATAGGATAGAAAACAACAAACAAGTGCTCCACATACCTCCTCAATCGCCGTAACCTCGTTTCTCTGCATCTTTCTGTACACAGATGTCTTCCTACCTCCTCCTCTGAAAAAAAAACCAACTGACAGAATAGACCATACAAAAAAATCGATATGATTATGATCAGTATATACGAACGTGTACATAGACATAGGTCCATTTGAATCGTTATTTCTGATTGTGGCTGCAATATCGTTCGCGTTGTGCTCAAAGTGGTCCTCTTGCTTATCGGGGATCATTTCAATGCCAAGATTCTCAGACAAATCCCAGAAAATTTTTGCGAACCGTTGCTCGAAGTCAATGATGTACCACTGAAGTGAAAATAAAATGGGTGTGAAATCGATTTGCAGATCATAACAAGTTTTAGAGGGTGAAAATATGAATGCAAAGAAAAAAATTAATCACCTGTAGGGCAACTAGTAGTTCTTCCCGTACAAGAACAGATCCATCTTTTGTACACTTATTGCACAAGTCGTCACATATTTCCTGGTCAATCTGAACAGAAGTAGATAGCCCAAAACCATAGCATGAACGAAAAAACGAACCGTTGCTGCGTGTTCATTTGTTTCAGGAACGATTCTTCACAAGGCATCCCAAAGCGTAAACAGCGGCAGCACGGACTTCAGGGGCGTTGTCATCAAGTTCTTTCAGAACCCAAAATAGTTTAACGCTTAGAAAACTTACTGAGGGCAGTATTGGATGCTTCAAATACTAACCTTAGCATAAGCCACAAGTCGTACAGCCTGCCAACGAGCAGGATCATAATCCGCCCACAAACGACCTAATCCGATCAATATCCATAACTTCAATAGACGACAATCTTTTGCTTGATTCTCACTCAACAGCTCAGTGCAAAGGTTGACATATCCTTTCTTTGTGAGATTCTCTTGCGCAATTCTATAAGAAATTATTGAAATATACTGATTTTGTGAAATCATTGAAAGAACTGGCATCTCACCTGTAATTGTTATGAAATAATGTGGCCAATACAAAAGCAACTACAATCTTTTGTCGGGGTAGTGTATCTGGATCGTTGAGAATGGTGACGAAGAAATGGTACCTGGAAAATTCTTCTGACAGATGGTTTTCGATAGTCTCGTTCTTTGAGAACCCGAAAGCAAAACATTTCTTATACTAGTGTGGCCATCAACTTGAAGAAGATACTGCTAACGGTCAACCCTTGAGGTATCACGCGCTAACGTGCACTATACGACACCTCATTCCGCAACTGCTCAATGGTAATGGACCTGAGCTAAACTAGCGCCGATAGGAGAGACCACCAGTAGCTAAACTAGAAGCCTTTTGGAGCTGCCACGTGAATTCAGCCTGTAAGTACAGCTCCGATGAAGCGTTGGTATCATCAGATTGAACATATATCAGACACGTGCACGGCTCAGTTCCCTTAAAGGCATGCTCTGCTTTATCTGGTGTTCAGGTGCTCCTTCGAGTATGGCAACCCGTACGCAAACAAGGAGGATGTGCTCATTTCACAGCCAAAAATAGTGAGCAGAGCGCTAACCTCTCACGACGAAGTTATCGCCCACTCACTGGCCACCCCAACGCCCACCTTTCATTTCCAAATGCATCGTGGCGCGATTATTCTCTGCCAGATCCATCCATTTCGAACGGTGAGTGAGCTGATAGAGGAAAGAGGGATACCAACCGGAGGGAATCCGTCCGATGACGCGCATTCTTCACCTTATGCATATATAAGTAGTGTCCAGGGTCCTATTTGATGCATATCCGCCACGTTTCGTCTGCATATTCCTTTATTTTTGTGTTACACACGCCACTAGTGTCTGAGCCATAGATTTCACCATATTTGAAAGCGAGACGAGGTTTTTGAATCTAGGTGTTGGCTCGTGAGGAGGGCGGAAAGGGTGCGCTAGGGGGGAGGGCAAATGCGACTTCCCCTACGCTCCCTTTCCGCCCTCCCTCTTACAAGCCCAATGACCTTTTGAGGAAATCAGTCTGTTTCTCAGTAACACAAAAAAAAGATGCTGCTTAGTAGTTAGTGAAAGAGAAACAAAAAATTGGCAAACAGTTCGGGCAGTTATAAAGTAATGTTACCATAAACTAAGGAGTGAAAAGAAGGAAGTGATGAAAGGATACATTGCAACGAGACTGGAGTCGTAAATAAAGCAATTAAGTATGAAATTTTCCTTCATAAACTAAAAAACGTAATTCCAATCGTATTAAGAGAAGCATACCGTAGCTGAACGGGTTTTGAACGATTCGTGGATTCAAATCGCCCTGGTTCATCTCCATTTTCCTTGAACAACTCCGACTGAACACTAGGGTCGACAGCAAGAATCTGTAACAACAAAAACCTCGAATAACTTAGATACGTATACCTGAAACATACATATTGGTACCCCACAAGCTTCAAGGGGTGTTAAAATTCAAAAATTGCGCCTTTTTTTAGATTTTTCTCTGAAATCCATAACTAGGATTGCAAGTTTCTCCACACTTCAAGCATTCCTTCGTAAGCTGAACAAAAAAAAGGAACAGGCCGCTCGTGAAGGTGGTATCCTCACTCCGCTTGGCCCGCACAGCATTTTCAAGGAATTTTGCTGATTTTCTATCCAGCACAACACTTGAGTACTCCAAGTTTATGCACATCGTTAATATCAAGTAATATTGCCGGAAACAAAATGCAACAAACCTTTGCCCAGATAAAAGCAAGCCATGTCCTGAGCTCTCTTGATGTACTTTGCAGCAATTTGAGCATATACGGAAAAATCCCGACGGATAGTGAATAGCCAACAGCCCACTGCCCGAGATCCAAAAATCGGGCAAGAAGTTCAAGAGCACGTTGACGATGTGCCTAGAGGAGGAGATTCTCAGTGCAGAAATTACAAGGAAACCACCACAATATAGGAATTTAATAACTCACTTGACTAAGTAAAACTTGCAGGACAATCGGGAGCTGCTCCGGCGAGGACTGTTTGTTTACCCCATACTCTAGCCATACCTAGTAAAAGACGACGATCTGTCAAAGTTAGCAGCTGGAACGAATAGCAAACGAAACGACCGAAACCGCTTGGTGAGCGGGAGATGCAGATCGAGTCCCGTCTAGGGTCAGATTTTGCTGATAACTCAGCACTACTCTGGTAACGAAATACGACAACACCCTTCAAAAAGTCCTCTTCTGGTATAGCTCCCTCTCCCGTTTCCCATCCCACATACCATCTTCCTATGTGGAGTTTTTATAGCAAATTCCACTTTTCCCAAAAAGCGCCGTCGAGCGGCTGGGGGTATACTACGCACTTCAAACCGAGATCTCAACAACCGAAAACACTTTTCTCGAAGGCAAATACGACCCCCCCGCGCTGGGGACTCCGCATGTACCACGTGCCCTAGTCTCTGTAAAATTAGTGCTTACAAGTACATCCCGCATCGGGATGCCAAAGACTCAAGAAAATCAAACAAGGATGGAAGGAGCACCTCAAAACGCTTTCAACTGCTCAATGAAAAACCAGTTATGTTGAACTTCACCACCTTCTCCAATTATACCAGACAAGTCGATTAATGCTATAACAGAAATATCAGCAGGAAAGATGCAAAGTGAGCTGTAACATGCATAGGAAATCAAAAGATCACTTACTGTTCAAGGTACAAATCGAGCTTTTCGATAACACGTCCCTTCCAACCACTTGAAAATGCAGCTTAGGAGTAAGAAGGTTGTGAATATGATTGAGTGTTAGGTCAAGAGTGTACTCCCATGAATCCCATAGAGGATGATCAGCTGTGCTTGGCAGAGGAGGGGAAGAAACCACATCTACAACAATAATGGTCCGTCATAGCGCAGAAAAAAAAGAAATGCAAAAAAAAAACCAAAGTGTACAAACTCACTACATCCATTTCCGCCCATAACTCGTTCTGCCAGAAGAAAACTTCGAAATAACGAGGCTAGTAGAAGATCCTAAAACAAATGCTCTGCTGGGAGATGGAAGATGAGGAAAATACCTCGTCTCCGTTCTGGACAGCCAAACAGTCAATGGGAAACAAACAAGAACCAAGAATATGGTTACAGGGCATACGTCAACAAACTGTCCTCCCGCTGCGAGAGTGCCGGAGGTATTTTGCTATCGCACCTTCTGGTCGAACATTTGCAGGGGGAAATAAGGAATAGATATAAGAAAAGAAAGGAAGGAAGAGAAGAAGAGGGAAAGGAAAAGGGAAGAAGGAGGAAGGCTTGGCCATTGACAAATCCTGAGGCCTCAGAAACATATACATATGACATTATATATGATTTGCGACCGGCACACTTTAAATGTCATGTTGGATTTTTATCGAAACTTTTCACGGGTACCTTCTACCTGCGTTAAGGTAGAAGTTTTGCGGGGTAGTGACTACTCCTACAAGTTTTCGGCGTGCTGAGTGATTTGAGGGGTTCTGGTGCTAGTAATAGCGAAACTTTTCGCATCAAACCTATGTGTCATTCTCGTTAAAGGGACCAAGATACCACCAGAAACGAACTAGTCATTTATGCTCCCAATGGGAAATTTCCATAAAGGTCAACAACCATGAAGATACAGCTCAAACATAGCGTCAGCGTCAGGTTAGAGATCGATGAAAACTGCGACAAACCTGTCTGAACAACCGCTGAAAATCATCTCTTGGCAATGCATTCCATGCAATAGTGTCAGTTATAGCAGTGAATATCCAGTTAAGCTCTCCCAATATTGTTCGTCGATCATTCAGTTGACCAGGTATTTCCTCCAGTAAATTGGGAGGAAACTGACTTTTTCTACCACTCTTTAACAAATACCTTGAAAAACGAAAGTTCATAAGGGAATGTAGAACCATATAGAATTCATGTAAAAACGAAAGGGTGACATGCAAGTAACACATACCAAAGAATACTCGTATGTATTGGGGTAGTCAAACACGACGTAAATAAATCAGCAGGGAGCTCAGGATTTGTCGGTAAACGTTCGTCTTCTCGACAAGCTGCCAGTTGAATGCAGTCCTGGAGACACATGCAGTAATCACATAATTTAACAGCATTCTTCCGCACATATTAAGCTGAGGGAGAATCATCAAAGTCGAAATCATTAATTTTGAGTCTTCCCGCCGCACACTGCTACCGAACAATAAGCCGAATGTGACTGACGGCGCAGCTCAGCCATCTTGTAGAATTTTGATTTCAAATTCAAAATATTCCTATATTACTTTCCTTTTAAAATAATACGTGAAAATGTATTTATTACATACTCGGAATTTCGGCCGTCGCTTGAATTTCAAGGATTCAGCTTGTTGATCAGCGGTCATGTGAGAGCTGATCCTTGCTCCGGATATTGAAGTGGAAGCAACGGTTTCCTGATGAGCTAACAAGTTCTTGTGCCAGTCACTGTAAAGATGCAGTAAGGTTTCATAAGCAGCAGCATTTGTCGCAGCAACTACACTTCCACCTATCAACAAAGCCTCTACGGAAACAACAGTTGACTGACTCACTCTTCGTGGTCCTTCGCAAATCGCATAAACCAATTTACAATAGTCTCTGCAGATGAGCAATCCCAAACATATATGGATGGAAACTCCATGCAAAGTTGCAAGTCATACAAAGACAGCGGGATATACTGGAACAAAAGGGTATGGAAAGCACCATCGTGGATAAAGGAACGGAAAGAACGTAGTCACCCTAAAGGATGACATGAACCCGAGTTCATACTTTGCGAATGTGGAGAATGCATGTGCGATTTGATAGAATTAGCTAACATGGGAATTTGCGAATAGGTAATAACTCAGCAGAAATGAGGATGCTGAGATGGGCCTGCGGTTGGACACGACTCGACAGAGTCAGAAACGAGGACGTCAGGGCGGTCACACAGACGGCTCCGATCCAGCTGAAGGCACGAGAGCAGCGACTGCGATGGTATGGGCACATGTACTGAGGCCTGAAGACCACCCAATAAGGAAGGCATTGGAACTCGAGGTAGAGGGCAAGCGGCCACGAGGGGCCCCTAAAGAAAAGAAAAAGAAGAATTTGCGGATAGGAGCTCATCAATTTCATCTTTCTTTTTGGCGACAAGCTCTAAAAGGCACATTTTTACTTTCCGGCATGTTTTTCCAATGCGCGCAATCTCCTCATTCGCAAAGTATAGACACTGTCTCAGAGAGCGTCTTGGGTGTCTTGCAGGGTTCTGAGTGTTCTGAGCGACTAGGAAAATATAAGTACCGATACGGCGTCCTGAGTGTACGCCAGCATTTTCACCCACTAGGATAATATAGCTATCGATCTAGTATTTCAAGACTTCACTAGCGTTTCGAGCGATTAAGAAGGTATCGGTATCAATTATCTATAAAAATACTGGTGTACGCTCGAAACGCCTGCAGACACTCAAAGCGCTGCCGCAAAGTATGAACGACTCTAGCAGACTAGAAAAGAGACCCCTATTCAAACAAATACATTAAAATTAAGGGTACCTGTGTGAAATTTTTGTTGAACACCCAAATTTCACCATTTTGCGTAGGTCGAGGTACGCCGTGACCATTGTAGTGGAACAATACACGTTCGTCTTTTGCATTTCGCCTCATGCTCATGCATAATTTACGTACATCATCTCCTGTAGGGTCGGTTACAGATTTGTACCTAAAATCAAGTTCAATTACAGTAAAGCTATACCGAGAAAATAAGATCGAAACAGACATAACCGTACTGTCACCTTGCACGCGGCTGCCATTTCTCGTAGCTTTTCTGCAAAGATGTTGCTATCTTATAAGCTGCCTTTTGCGGATTGCAGCTGTAGGGGTCGACCCAAGCTTCTAGTCGAGCACGTGCTGAGGTTTTCGGTAGAGAGTCCGGTGGATCTACTCCTACATCAGAAATAGTTCCAATCCGATATTTTTTAAAAACATATTCCACCTAAAAGGAAACGCAAAAATGGAAAAATGAGCTGAACTGAAATCATCACTCACCTATGTGAAGACAAAGAACAAGGGCTACAGACACAGTCTTCATACGCTCCTTGCTATACCGCCTCCTGAAAACATTAATCTCGAGGTAACATATCTGACATATCTGAAACGTAACATGAATAAATAAAAAACCCTTCGCACCATATATCTCGTTCCTCGCCATCTTCTTTTATTCCAATGATATCTTCAACATGGCGCGCTTCTTGGAAATAACGCGTTATTAACATATCCGTCTTCTGTAAGGTTTTTATAAAAAGATTATGTCTACTTCTGCCCGTAAATAAATGTAACCAGAAACAAACCTCCAAAATCTCCATCTCACTATGAACCTTCGACTTTATCGCAGACATCCTCGAATCTTCTTATGACACCTTCATTCGAAAACGATATACTGCAACAAATCACTGCATTGAAAAATGTCGCTTTGGCAAAGAATCACGGATTCCTCAATGAAGAACTTGTGTTACTCAAATGTGTACAAAAGAGTCGATAAATACGTTTTTTTCTGCCGAAGAAAGCCCCAGTCGATAAATACGTTTTTTCTGCCGAAGAAAGCCCTCCTACATTCTGCAAGAGATATCGAAGTCAGAAGGCACTACTCTCGTTCTTATTCCTAGCACTCCAGCTGAGTACAATAAACATGCATAAATAAATAAATTTGAGACAAATACTACACACTCTTGATGACTACCAACATGACTGATCATTTGTCTTCACTACTGTCTGTCCCTGAACCTCATGAGCACCAGAATTCTGTTTACAGATAATGGGCCCCGTTCTGCGAGGACCTCCGCACTTTGTCATTTTTCACGTCGATAATAACTGATTTCATTTTTTCATTCAAATTTCGTATGAGATGGGTGGTTCGTACTCGAAATCTGATAACCTTACAGCATGAAATGGATTATCTCAAAGCACAAGGAGAAACATGTATGACACACCATGTGTGTCACGCGGCTCAGAACCGCAGAACACAAACAGGCTTCCAAAGTTTTCATGAAAAAACACTAAGGCTCGGAAGAAGCTCAAGTATGGTACATATTCGAAAAATATAAGCATCTCTGAGTTTTTTTTGAGACTTACGAGTCCTTGCGCGATAAAAGTTCTGCAAGCATCTTCACGTCATAACAACATTCAGACCATTACGTTGCTGTACTGCTGGTTTGAACAGGACTGTGCAAAACTGCCAAAAATTACCTTCACCTACGAGATTTTCCGCAATACTCGTTTCACTTGCAGGATTGCATACTCACGAGCTTGGACAGTAAAAGCAGAACCTCATCTCCTTTTGTGTTTCGTATGTTCCTTATTGGGGTTCCGGTCAGCCGCCAAAGCGTAACTACTACGACGTCGAAAAACTTGCTAATGCTTTATGTGAAAAGTTTTATGTCTCTGATTATATGCGTTATTACCGCGCCTTTTGGTCGCATGAATGAATGAATAAAGAACTAAATAAATAAATAAGATCTCGAGTCGTGATCTAACGGCTTGTGAATCCTTGCACAATGTTGTAAAAAGCATCATGTACGACTTTTCATGGATTTAGGTATGGCATCGGGTTCAACTCTATTGGCTTACAATTCGGAAGGGTCAGTCACCTCTCTGGAATGATTTTACAGGAAAACTTCTGAACTACCAGCTAGTAATATTCCAATACCACCTATAACTTATTATAATGTGAACTCTCTGCGACTACATCAAAGAAAGTTATAATTTCCGGCCAATCACGCACATACACATTAGCAGACAAACCTAGCGGATCATCTAGTAAGAGGATATAGTAATGTATGTGATTACGATCCTTAAACATAAGATTATGTACTACTCAAAGCGTGCTTAGCCTGAAACGCAGGCCTAAACTCATCGTCCACTCTACCCGAACCCCAACAGGAGCTAATAAACAAGTGCTACACATTCATTGTATACATCACTCCTTCTTAGAAGATCAAAACAGTTTGACCACGGGACCAACAGTCTGTCATCTCAATGAAGTCCAAGAACAAAGCAACTTATCGCGAATTCTTAAAAACCCACCCAATAGATCATCTAGGAATCAGCATCTCTAGCCAAACACCCGTAATCCTCAAACAAACCCACGCCCTATCATATGACCAAACATAATAACACATGGAGCACACAACCTCTCCTGTGCGTTACGGGATAAACAAGATGTTAATGGAAAAGTATGCCAAAGACCCCGTCGTCAAATAATCGCGACATGGATGAAGTTCGACAGCAATTCTGAGGAAAAGAGTCCCTTTCGGAGAGCGCATTAGTGACTACTTCGTACTCCTCTAGAGTTTTCGACTAAAAACTGTGGAAAGCTTTGAAAATATGACTTCCGAAGGATAAAAGAATGCTTGAGGGCCGACAAAACCACCGGATTCACCACGCCCTCGCTGTTATCCAGAACCACGAGGGAATTTCATGGTCACTCTGTCACCATAAAGATCAGGTAGTTTCGGCAGAAGAGCCCCTAGCAAAGAAACATCCAACAAAATTCGAACGGTATCCACTGTAGTTCTCCGCCTCCGGTCCTGGGGTCAAATACCGGATCGATCCCCACCCCCGGCCAACCAAGCTTTCTACCCTGGTTAATTGGTTGCTGTTTGTGTGGGGATAAGAATACTGTCTTACACATCGGCTTTCCTCGTAAATCATTGCGCGTGCTACACTGCATTCAACACGCCATTGCGATTCTGAGTGGGGGCAGAATGCGTGCCGCATCCCGAAAAGGGACTGGTTAACAGCTAAGACAATCCATTTTCCTCTGAAGATGTTCCAGTAAAAACGCATCCTTCTCCTAACCCTGCTGCCTAAAAGCAATGGTCCTACCTGGCACACAACCTGCACAATGTAATGTAAGAGTACAGAACTACATAGCAACAAAGCCACAGCCCATTCGAACTCAAGATGGTCACACCAGTTCAGGACACCTTTCCAATCCTTCTGTTTACCTCTTTCTTCATTGACACTTTTATTTTTGCGAAGCCTCAGCTTTTTTTTACCATTTGAGAACTCATTCCTTCGATTTAAACACTATTACCATAACTGTTACTTGAAAAACAGCGCTAGCTATGCACAGTCTCCGATGCAAGTTTTCGGATTACTTCGAACACAAAGACGTACCAAATAACAATTTATCAACAACAAAACAACAATTCACTCAGCGGGTATCTCAATTTCACCGCTCGCAATCTGCTCTATGATATCGTGAGGGTGTTGACCGTCGATGGTGCAACCAACTGATTGGGCAGTTCCTAAACGAAATACGACTTACAGGAGGTAAGACTCCAAGCACTTAATTTGACCTACCTAGAATCTCCTTGACTGTTCCTTCCAGCTTTCGGGCCATGGAACGAGGCCTCATAATCCGGGCAATCTTGATGATGGAGTCAAGGGTCAAGTCTCCATTGTGTTTCACTAAATAAGGGACGATCAAATACTGAATATAAAAAGTTTTCCCAATACCACCTTCACATTGGAAAAATGGAACTCACTAAAATAACACCCGTTGCTTGCGTTACCAGTCTATGTAAAAACACAAAAGACTGGGGGATAAGAGCATATGGACTCTCGACCCTTCGCCACCAAAGGTGCATACCGTTCTTGACCTTCTTGCGGTCGCGAGGAGGTTCCTTGAGTTCCTTCACGAGTAGAGACGCTGCTGATGGTACGACGTCGATTTTGGCAACACGATTCTGGATAGTGAGCTTGCATGTGACTTTCAAGCCTTTCCAATCTTGGGTGGCCTTTGCAATGTCGTCACCGACTTTCTTCGGTGACAAACCGAGCGGTCCAACCTTGGGGGCAAGTGCTGAGGTAGCACCGACTTCTCCCCCGACACATCGAAGATACACTGAAAGAGCTCGATTAAAACTCAAGAAAGAGCTAACGAACTGTACAATCTAATCCCAATGAAACACGGGTCAGTTATTGCCTAAACGCTCACCAATCTTAATCTCAGTGGGGTCGAACTTTGGCGGCATACCGATAGCAGTTGTCTACCAAACGGATGGTAGTGCCTGAAATGAATCCAACGGCAAAAATCGCCGTGACGAAATCGCGCCAAAGTTTGCTGCGTATCAACACGGTTAACGGTCGACGCTCACTTAGCTAAGAGGCGCGCTTTTTGAATAGTGATTAACATTGCCTGCTGTTTCGTTCAAATTTGAATTTCGTAATTTTTTTTTCAAAAAATTTATGGGGTTTCGTTGGGCTAAATTGTGAACACGGATCAGTATTTGTTACTCAGTTGGAGGTATGTATTGCATGAAGTGGACGCTGAACTTACCAAAGGACTTTATATTGTGAAACTTGAGGGAATTTATGGAATTTTGACGTTTGAGGGTCATTTTTGGAAAGTTACGTAGATGGTTGAAACCCACAGATGGAAGTGAAGGGTAGTGAAGTTTTTAATTGATTGCCGAGTCTTGTATATGAGGGTTAACGTCATATCTTGGCCACACCTCGTCCCCACACCTGCAGATATGCCATCTTTATTTTTTTAAGGAGAGAAATAGAGAACTAGATGTATCTCGATGCTTGTAACGTGACCTTATGCCTATTGAAATCCTGGAAACTTGAGTAAACTCAGATTTTTTAGAGTTTTTTTCGTGGATCTAATAGGATTTGTTGAGGCTTTCTTGCTTCCAACAAGAGGCCATGGTTTCACGGTTGTCACGAAACCGGCGAAACAAGTGTTAAAACAATTTTGATGTCTTCTCTTAACGATATTGTATCCTTCAAGGTTTTCTGAGTGGGACAGTCTGAGTCTTGGGAAGTTTGTCTGGTCTAGCGTCTTAGCGTAACTTATTGTCAGAATTAATTTTGTGTCTATCCTTCTCTGTTGTCCTCGATTCCAGACACATGGGTGAACCCAATGGCGATTGTGTTCATGGCTTAGAACGGGGCGGAAACGATCTGGTGAGTTCTTTCTTCACTGGCTATTCCTTTACTAGCTCAGCATCTGAGACAAACTCAATATTCTACTCCAAAGTATCTATTCCGCCTTCTGGACCAGGGTTTCGCACCCAGGCCATTACGAATCCTCAGCAATAATCTACCTCTTTCGCGTAGACCTTTCGATAGCTCGATATCTTTACTGATTGTTTATACGGTTTGTTTGTATGCCTTCCTTCTGCATCGATGCTCGATGATAAGCGACTGCAGCATGAACGCTGTCGCAGTTATTGCTATGCTAGAACCCCAAGGAAATTGTGGGGGGGGGGGAATGAAGTCTGCATGCTGTGTGATAAGGCGGCACTTGGTCATTCCGCTTTTTCGGTTGCGGCGCGCATTCTATATATCTTCAAAATGTTGAGGCTGCTTTCATGCGCTGCGTCAGTGTCTACTAGCGACCACTAGCGTCCACCAGCGACTAAGAGAGTATGGATATCGATCTAGTGAACGGCAGCGTCCACCGGCATCCAGGAGTGGAGAGTATGGGGAAGTAGGAGGGAGCAGATAATTGGATCTGACTTCATGAAATTGCTGCTCTGCAACCGCACCGCAGTTATACCATACCGTGCATTGAATTTAATCATTCCGTGGCTAGCAGTGCACGGTGCGGTTGTACACGCCACAATTTTCGCGCCGAACTGCCTTCTCTCTCCTACTTCCCATGCTCTCCACTTGGACGCTTGTGGAGGCTGCGTTCGCTAGATCGATATCTTTACTTTCCTAGTTTCTCGAGACGCTGGCGGACGCTGTTGGACCTGCCGCAAAGTATGAACGCAGCCGAATTCATATGCGATGAATTAATGCGCATGTGTCGTTTTTTGATTTCTAGATCTATGAAAGGGTGCTTGTTGATGACGGAGAAGCCATATACATCGAAGGAGGAGAAGAATACGGAGACGTGTTTCGTGAAGAGGAATACATCCAGCTCGAGGATGGTAGATTTGTCCAGGCGAACCCCCACTCAATAGTACCTCAGGTGAAATTATTCTCGGATCAGTGTTGTAGAGACCAGTAGCTCTTTGTGTTGTGTTTCATGGCCTTCCACAAAGTTTCCTGTATGTCGCTACAATCACACTTGCCTGATACTTTTCTTTCAAATTGGGCAAGAACTTGCGATTGCATTTCACCGGTGCAGTTCTGTTTATTCTACAAAGTGTCCCTTTACAGCCTTCTGTATCAAATCAACCTCAAGTTTTGCAACAAGTGGCAGTTGCACCGGTTGCTCAACGAGTCCTTGTTGAATCAACACCTCGAATTCAAGGCCACCATGTAATCGCTCAACAAAACTACCAGCCACGCGCTGCGCAAGTAAGCAAGCTTCAGATCGGATTCCGACGTTATACTAGAATGTAAACTTCTCGATCTTGATGGGAAACGGTCTGCGGTTGAAGAGAATCTGTTCATTCACCTCCGCGAATCCTGTTCTTGCCACGTGCGATGTGAATGGGTCCGCAGCTTCAGTAGCGTGCCACATTCTGCGCTCGAAAAGCATGGGAACGGAGCTGGAGGGGAGTGCCCTTGCGCCGTCTCCCGTCTGGGCGCACGTCCAATAACACGTGTAACCATGGCCGAATGCTCTACTTTTCTGCGCTCTCTCTCCCTTCTGGTTGCCTGTTCGGCTGCTTTCATACTTTGTGGCAGTCTACGTCAGCGTCAGCGACTGGGAAAGTATGGATATCGATCTAGCGTCTAGCATCGTTCACCAGACCAGGAGTAGGTATTGCGGTAGAACGGCGCGGTTGCAAACGCCACGATTTCACGACGCCCAATCCAGTTGTGTCCTTTCTCCTACTTACCATTCTCTACCAATAGTCTGTTAACCTCCTGCTTCCTCCGTACTCTCTACTCCTGGACGCTGCTTTACGCTGGTAGAGGCTAGATCGATAGCCATACCGTCCTTGTCCCTCGAGACGCTGATGCTTGCTGCTGGACGCTGGAAAACGCTGGTAGACGCTGCCGCTCGCTAGATCGATATCTGTGCTCTCCTAGTCTTTGCCGCTGACGACGCTCGAAGCGCTGATGGACGCTGCCGCAAGGTATGAACGCAACCTTACCTCCGGCTGGGTTCACGCGTGTTCGCTGTGGGATTTAGGTAACGACTTAAGCGCTGCACATTGTGGATAGCGTCGACGGAGTATGGAGACGGCACCCGGGTACCACTCCTCTTCACTGCGTTGCCGTGGTTTTTTGAGCGGAGCAGTGCACAGGATACTGCAGCTGCATCCATTCACCTCGCGCTTGGAAAGGACCAGGATTCGCGGAAGTGAACGTACTGCCTGTCTTTAGGCTACATTCTAAACAATTCTTCTAGGATATCCTTTTGATTATAGGTCACTCGATATAAACCAGAAACTCCAAAAGCTTCAGTTTTCGAGCGATACATCAGCAATGTGAGTAGCTTTTCTCGGTTCAAAATGATTCTTCCCTGTCTCAATTTGGTCCTCTCAACAGAGATCGATATAGGACTGCTTCAGGTGCCACGACAAAACTCTTTCGATTTACTGGAAAAAGCCACTGTGCTCAGTTTCCCGCTCGTGAGCGCCAGTGTAGCAAAGTCATACACCTCTTCCCCTTCGACAGCATCACTATTCCAGTTGCCTTCTACCCAGACAACATCTAAGCCTAAAAAGTAATTTCTCACAACATTTCTCGTTTTCTTCACATCTCAAGTAATGAACCGTTCAGGAAGCCTTTACCCGGTCAACGGAAGCCTTGCAATTGCACAAAGTCCATGTGTCTGAAGTTGTATTGTGACTGTTTCGCCAATGGAGAGTTTTGCCTCGATTGCAATTGCAAAGACTGTCACAACAATTTGGAACACGATGCTGACCGTTCAAAGGCGATAAAACAATCTTTGGAGAGGAATCCAAACGCGTTCAAACCAAAAATTGGTCTGTTTTTAAACATAAAGTTTCAGGTTTATTTCGCCTAAAGGCAGCGCCCACGATGGCTGAGGTGAGCGGTTACCGCCAACATCATTGGTGAGAGGGCTGCAATGGGGTCTTTGAACAACTGCAGTCATCCCCTCCATCAGTGACGTTGTTTCACAGTGCCCGACCTCTCCAGCCATAATGCCCACAGTTTTTGAAGCTGCACTAGTTCCTTGCCCAAGTATTCTCGCTGACATTTAGGGGTGAAGAGTGGCAAGGTTGACGCGGAAAGGTTACATCAGAAAGGGTGTCATTGCAAAAAGAGCGGTTGTTTGAAGAACTATTGTGAATGCTTCGAGGTTAGTTGTATGTCAAGACCAAGATGTTCATGTCGTCTTATGCGCACTTTTAGGCCAAGGTACCGTGCACCAGTCGATGTAAATGTCATGGATGTCAGAACACAGAAGGAGATCGCGCCAATCGAAACGACAGGTACTTCTTTTTAGAGGTAGATTGCTCGAAAAAATGACTGGGATTGGATAGAGGTGGAAAGGGGCTACTCATCTCAACCGTGAAAAATCGTTGTTTAACAGGCATTGCAGCACATACAGTCCTGTTCGCTGCGGATGCGGGGAGCTCATCAGCTGCCAAAACGGGAAGCCAATATAATTGGTGAAAAACGGGATAGCGCCGCACCAAACCTACCCCCCCCCCAATCCCTGTCAGGCCTGAGCAGCAGCGTCCAAAGCGGTACAGCTGAGCGCTGCCTCTTTTCGTACAGGACGTCAGTGCTGATTACCCCTCTGAAACAGGTGGTGCTGGCGTTCTGTATCATCTTCTGCACATAGGATTATTGAGCAGCGCTTCACGAACATGAATAATCCGCGATGTCGGTCGGAAAAAAATGGGTTTCGACAGATCTTCGGATAATACGCGACAAGAAAGATTGCGTGAATGAATCACTTCTCACCTACACCTTGTCGCCGTTTCCTACAAATCGCAGATTCTCCTCTTCTGTAAAGGACTAACGCGGCAAAGTCATGCTATTTTGGACTGGTGTCAGTATAAGAAGTTTCATGTTCACCTCCCTTGAAGAGAATTACGAATCAAATCGCACTTGAGTTTGTTAGTGAATTATCAAGGGACAAACTTTGCCTCACCACCGAAGACGGAGTATGAACTCTCGCCATGTGCAAGAAGAACGCATTGGCAGCTGTAGAAGTGAAGGACTCCCGAACATTGAAAGCTCGGGGAAATGGGGTTGGAGGATAGTGATGCCGGAGTGCCACCTGGGACTCTACCCGCATTCTCTTCAAGATTTAGCACTCCCTTCGATACGAGGATATGAATAACGCGGCGCGGCGTTATTCAAGGTGGGGAAGAACCAGAGGTGAAAGGGCCCAGACTAGCAGCGCGTGTGGCTGGCCGTGTGGCAGCGCAGGCAGAGTATGGAGGAGGCAACATCCACATAACGCTACAGTCCAGTATCTCTCGCCTTTTTAAGTGGAGAAAGTGGCACGCTACTGCAGCTGAGCCATTCATCTAGCAAGGCAAAAATGAGGGAGTATACAGTTTCTTCTGGAAAGCAAGGCTCCAGTTGAATGAATGTGGGAGAAATTCACCCACCAGAGTGGTGAGATGAGGAACAACGGTTGAATAGGCGAAAGGAAGACCGAAGAGTGCTTTTTGGAAGCGGCTTGTGCGAGAAGAACAGAGGAGTGTTTGACTACTCAAATTATTCGAGGATTTCACGGTTGCCAGCCGAAGAAGTCAAACTTTTTCGAAGTTGTTTTGTTATGATCTTTTCTTTCCTTTCTATCGCTCTTAGTCGCTTTGTTGATCATATCTTTTCAAAGGATGTCTGCGTCGAGTTCTGCATTGATGAATTTGGCGAATGCTGCCTCTTCACTTACGACGGGATCACCATCTTCACCGCTGTCAGATAACGAATCCGAGGCAGAATCTTCCACTGCCCGCCCTGATCCACGATCGTACGTTTGTTGGCTTTTTTCACTGAAGGTGTGTATCGCATTCATACTTCGTCATCTAATCGCGCGACGCAAGCGAAGGGTCGGGAAGTATGAACGCGCTCTTACGTTCTTGTTAGTATGGTTGGCCGTGTACAAACCTGATCCCAGTTAATTTCTAAGGTATCCATGGTTCTACATGACGGATGAAGTAGTTGAGGCAGCAACACTGTGTCTGGTAGCTCAAGCAGAAGAATCAGTGAGTTTTCAATTTGAGTTGCTATTTTCCTGCAGCTAATTCTGTAATTTCTGTTTCAGCTGTCAGCATGCACTGGTGAAGCATCAGATGCAGTGATTGAAGATATGGAAAGAATGGTATTGTCAGAATTCGGTAGATGTTTGCAGGAAATTATATCGAATGCGTCCGGATCTTAACATATAATCATCACATGCTCTATGATTGTGGATAAATTTATGCACTCTTTGCTGTTTCTTGTGGAAAGTGGCTTCGAAACCATTTATTTTTTTTCCTATATGGGGTACAGCTCCTGTTTCTTAATATTATCCTTCGCAATGGAGTGGGCATGGGCAACAACCGTTTTTCTTCCAGTGTTGAAGCATTAGGGGAAGTTACATATATTGTCTTTTTAGGTGCGGAATAAAGGAACAGAGGCTTACAGTTAGACGTGAGGCAGCGTTCAGACTTCGCGACGGCAGCGCTTCGGTCGCGCGTTCGACGCGATCGATGCGCATGCTTTCGACTGCATTGATCGCGTCGAACGCGCGACCGAAGCGCTGCCGTCGCGAAGTCTGAACGCTGCCTGGGGAAAAATTCTCGTTTTTCAGTCGATCTGGGATTGGGAAGTTTCTCTTCTTAGAAGTCGACCCCCAAGGCAGCCTTCATTTTTCGCGACGTGAGGACGTGAGCGATTCACTCGCTTTGTGACCGACGCGCTCTACCGCTAATTTTTGGGCCGCTGCAATGGTTGGTCTTAAGTTGTATACTCATTGTGATTGGTTAGCAGTTTCAGTGGACCAATTAAGGGTGGAAAAAAAGAGACGCGCTACCTTCGGGTAAAATTATGCGAAATGCTGCTCTTCAAAAATTTCTCCCGCTCTCTCATTTCAGCTACGCATCTGAAGCAGGAAAAAAGCGAAAAATCAACCAGGGATGTTGTTCTCAAAAGCAAGTGCGTCCCCCCTCCCCTCAGCGACCAGATGTGATCCTTTTGGGTATCGGAATTTACGGTATGCCTTGCTGGGAAGTGGTCGTTCGCAGTCAGCCGCTTTTTCTAATCACCGACTGAATCGCGCGACTCGCGAAGTATGAATACACTATGAGGCGCGACCAAACGCTTATCTTCTCAAAATATCAAGGGAGGTGGCTGTGCCATTCCAAGAGGATTCACAGTTCGACCATTTGTGGGACTTCCTGATTAGAAATGTTTCAAACTTCAGGTCTTCCTAGTTACCATAAGCCACCTCCGCCTGAGAATTGTCTGTAACATTGCTGGCTGTAAGTTGCACATGCACAAGCTTGCATTTCTCCTGCATTTCTCGTGTTGTAGCGTTGAGATGTTGTAATTTCACCGTGGAGAGAGTTATTCGGTGCAATTTTCTTTTCTTTCACGCTATTTTCAGCCAGTAAGAGTATGTTCATACTTAGCGTCAGCGTTTCGCGGAGCCTCAGAATGCTGGACCGCTATCGGTTCATTTTTAGTCGCTCAAACAGCCGGTCTACACTCAGAACGCTGACACAATCTAAAAGCGTACTATAAAACGGCATTAGAGGTGCGGTTGTGATATTCGATTACCAATGAAAAACACGATCTTCAGATGCATTTGTCAGACAGCGACAAGGATTTTATGGAGCGGGCATTTCAGTTAGCAAAAGAAGCTCTCGAAAACAATGAAGTTCCTGTAGGATGCATTTTCGTATATCATGGTAAAGAGGTGAGTGTCCTCTCTGGAGTCATCTATGTATGCCCTCGTATAACTTGGAGCGCATTGCGTATTGCGAGATAAGGCGGGTAATACATAAGAAATAAATGGCTGCTGACAATGTTCGTCTTGGAGGGGGCTTTTTGCTTTTTCACTTTTACCTTTTGAGAGCATGTTAACCGACGGTGTCTCACTTTGGTCACTAAACTCCTGTAGAGCTGCGAAATTGTTCGAATGAGCCACTGTGGGTAAGCAGATTCACGGGTTACCGTAAGGTGGCCTTTGGATTTCGCCTAAAGCCTCTTTGTGTAGTGATGAGCATCCACGATATAAACTTTGGTATAACTTCAAGCTAATCACTAAGTATAATGCTTCTGAAACCTTCGGAATACACGGGTAAGTGAGAACCTTCATTTCTTCATTTCCATTATGTTCCTGGATATAACTTTGGAAACTGTTGCTTCCAGCTCATGGCTTATCAGTTATTCGAGTGTGTAGATAGAACTAGGTAGAAATGACGGAATTTCAAACCGATCCCTCTGTTCCTGCCATGCTCTTGGATTTCAGTCTTATTTAGGAAGGCGTGAGATTGAAAACAGCACTTTTGGGACTGAAAACAGCACCTTTTGAAGCATTCGGATCTGATTCTGTGGATGTTCAGAAATTGAACTAATTGCAGGTAGGAAGAGGTCGGAACGAGGTCAACAGCACAAAAGACCCGACGACACATGCTGAAATGGTTGCTTTACGAAGAATGGAGTCGGAGCTTCCGAACATAAGAGAGGTTAGCGGCTCGTTGATTGGATGTTTACAATTACATTTAACATAATATCCATTTATATAAAATCATTGAGGGGTGGTGCTCTACCTTTTGATAATTACCTGTAATTGAATTTTCCATATATTATTTCAAATTTGTCAGTTAGATCGCGTTCATGCTTGACGAAAGTGCGAAAATTCGTGACTTGTGAGACTTGATGATTGGGGCGCGGCGCTATAAGGAAATCATACATATCGATCTGGAGAATTGGAATTGGGGGAATGCCAAGGATCAGGTGGAAGTCGGACGAAGCTCCGCTGCAACTGGATCCCGTTCTCTCCTTCACCATCGATTCATTCACTTGCCTTTTCTGATCCTTGGCTTTTCTTGCGCATTCTCCCGAATTGTCGGTTCCTCCGAATCACAGATTATCCGGAGTCTAACAGTCTACCATTTGCAAAAAAAATGAATCATCGTAAGGCAGCGTTCAGACTTCGCGACGGCAACGCTTCGGTCGCGCATCGATGCGCATGCTTTCGACTGCATCGATCGCGTCGAACGCGCGACCGAAGCGCTGCCGTCGCGAAGTCTGAACGCTGCCTAAGCAGGAAATCGGTTGATTCTTTGTAAGAAATGCAGCTGAGAGCAGTGCATACCTTTCTTATTTAGATTCTTCATGATTTAGTTCTCTACGTGACGTTGGAACCATGTATAATGTGCGCTAGCGGACTCTATGAATTAGGTAGGTGCACTTAGCTTTTGGATTACTTGAGTACAAATTGTACACTCACCTTCGTGAATCCTGGTCTTTGCCATTTGTAATTTGAGTGGGTCCGCAGCTTCAGTAGCGTGCCATTTCTTCACTCGAACGTGCAGGGGAACTGGGCTGGACGGTAGTAATAGCCGAATACGGTCCTCATGTGCCCTCATGTGCGCTGCCACATAGCCAGA